TGCTGTTCTGTTGCACACCCTTCGTGTTTCGCCTCCGTGTGGTGGGTCAGATGGGGCTCAATGCCGAACTGTGTCTCCACTGTTGTCCCCTGAAGCGCTATGGGTCAGTGAGGGACGTCATGTCTCTTAGTGGGGCCAGCCCTATGGTCCTCTATGACTGCTCTGAGCAGGGATATCATCCTCAGGGCTTGGTGGGCTAGGATGTGCTCCACTCTCTCTTCCTCCCCCTTGTGTGCTCTGATCAGACATGACCCCTCCCTGAGCTGCAGCTTCAGTGCTGTCCTCTGAAGTGCATTCTTCAGGGGGAGGGGCTAGAAAACACCCCTAAAGGTGAAAGATCAGACCTTGAACGATTTATAGGCTCTTCTCTTTTTGTAGTTGTTTTGTTGGTGTTGGTGTTTTGTTTTCTTTCGTTGCTTTGTTTTGCTCTGTCTTGTTTTTGTGCTTGTTATTGTCTCTGCATGTCTGTCTAGATAATATAGGTGGGATAAACAATTCAGAGGGGAAAACAATGACCAAGGGCGCTGAAGGGACATGGGAGAGGGGGAGGTGGGGGAAGAAAATGGGTGTTAACAAGCTGAGGGACAAAGGAACAAGTGACCTAAAATCAATGGCAAAGAGGGCATAGGAGGTCTGACAGGGCTTGTTGATCAAGGGCAATGTAACCAAGAGGAGTTACTGAAATCCAAATGAAGGCTGAACATGATAGAGGAACAAGAGGAAAGTAAAAGGAAATAGAGGACAAAACTAGGAGGCAAAGGGCATTTGTAGAGGTCTAAATACAGGCATGTACATATGTAAATATATTTTTATATGACAATAGGGAAATAGATCTGTGTGCATATATTTATAGGTTTAGTATTAAGGTGGCAAGTGGACATTGGTCCTCTACGCAAGTACTCCCTCAATGCAAAAACACTTTGTTCTATTAACATGGCATTCCATGATGTTCACCTTCCCAACATGATCACTGAAGACAAAGTGGGTGCATAAGCAAATAGTGGTGAAGAAAGCTGATGGTGTCCGGCTATCAAAAGATATAGCATCTGGGGTCTTAAAGGCTTGAAGATAAACAAGCAGCCATCTAACAGGGAAGCAACAAAGCCCACATGAAAGAAGCACACCAGCCTGTGTGATCATGAGATAAGATGTTGATAGGATTAGGTATCAAGCATCAAAGACCCAGAACAAAAAAATCATATCATTATGAATGATGGGGAGTGCATACTGGAGACCCAAAGCCCATCTGTAGACAATTGGACATCCCTTTACAGAAGGGTCATGAGGAGGAGATGAGCCAGTCAGAGTGCAGTACAGCACCTCCTCCCCCCAACTATCGTGACCCCAATTCTACCTTACAAATCTGGCTAGACCAGAGCATGTACACAGGGTACAGATAAGAGCTGGAAACACAGGGAATCCAGGACAGATGATCCCTTCAGGACAGTGCTGAGAGTGGTGATACCAGGAGAGTGGAGGGAAGGTGTGGTGGAAAGGGGGAAATGATTATAAGGATCTACATATAACCTGCTCCGTGGGGTATGGATAACAGAAAAGTGGGTGAAGGGAGACATCAGACAGTGTAAGATATGACAAAATAATAATAATTTATAAATTATCAAGGGCTCATGAGGGAGGGGGCTGGGGAGGAAGGGGAAGGGGAAAAATGAGGAGCTGATATCAAGGGCTCAAGTAGAAAGCAAATGTTTCCAGAATGATGATGGCAACAAATGTTCAAATGTGCTAGACTCAATGGATGGACGGATGGATGGTGATAAGAGTCGTCTGAGACCCCAATAAAATGATTTATGAAAAGGAGCGACGGTCTCAGACCCACAGGGGCAGTTTTCTGAGCAGGGTGACTGCGGGTGGTTTGGGGCATGACGGCTGGAGCCACAGCTCGGTAGTGAGCGGGTGATGTTAAGTGGTGTTGACCATTCCCTGGGCCTCACACCGGCTGGGTGTCTCCCACCCCTGCCAAGTGCGTCGGGGGTCTCAGTTCTGTCCCAGTGGCAGCCGCCTCCCTCTCCAGTGGCGGCCTGCAGTGGCAGCGGCACACAAATTATGTGGTGAAATCTCACCCCGAAATATCGAATGGGGCAGAAGGGAGAAAGAAAGCAATTTTACTGAGTTCCTACTATGTGCCGGTCATCATGCCCGGCGCTGTCCTTCCAATGGCTCACCTAATCCTCACTCAAGCCCTGGAAGGAGTCATTCGCCCTGTGCCAGGACAGGACACTGAGGCCGGGGGAGTGAACAACTTCTCCAGGATCTCGTAGCCCAGTGGTTCTCATCTTCCTCATGCCACGACCCTTTCATACAGTTCCTCGTGTGGTAGTGACCCCCCAACCATAAAATGATTTTCATTGCTACTTCAAAACTGTCATTTTGCTGCTCTTATGAATTGGGAGACCCCTGTGGCCATGGTGCTGGAAGCTCCGTCACTGGTATGGCAAACCCCCGCAGGGCCGCCATGGTGGAAAGGTTTCAGCCGAGCATCCAGACCAGGGCAGATGGCGATGGCCTTCCAGAAGAGTAGCCAGTGACAACCCTCCACGTCACAGTGGCGCACAGAGTGGCCACGTCCTGCTGGGGATGAGCCCAGAGGCTGCAGGCGCTCGAGATGCAGTGACCGCACAGGGGCTCAAGCACGCCTGTGACCACAGAGGTGTTTCACTCCCTGGTATGTGGGGTCCCCTGAGACAGAGCCAATGCTGCGGTCACTAACAGGAACCCCGCGGGCCCTGCACTGGGGGGAGGCCGATGAGGCAGCAGTGAAAGTGGAGTTTCCACCCTCAGGAGAAAGAGTAGACAGACTTACAACTGGTCCAGGGTAGACTAGTGGAATCTGGGTCTGTCTAGGGCCCTTAAGCACCTTTCGAGCCTGGAAATGAACTCACTCTTCTTCCAGCCAAAGGACAGACCGACCATCGAAGTGAACAGTAACACCGGGGAGGTAGGCACCTCCAGGGATCATCCACCACCAAGGCCAAAGGGGCAGCCTGGGCCCCAAACAAGCTCAGAAGCAGGGAGGATGCTCACACAGTGAGGGGTGCTATGCATGTCACAAAACAAAATAGAGATAAATTGTTGACTGGAAAACCGATTTTCTCTGTAAACTTTCACCCAAACTACCCCCCAAAATACAAGCCAAACTCACTGACATTGAGTTGATGCCGACTTAGAAGCCCTATGGGACAGGGTAGAACTGTCCTTGCGAGTTTCTGAGACTAAGTCCCCGGGTCTGTATTTTTTCCTATGGAAGCAGAAAGTCCCTTCTGTCTCCCTTAGATCGGCCAGTGGTCTCAAACTCAGCAAGCTCAGCGCAAGGCTGCCTCCTAGAATTTCAGAGGTTGTCTGTCTTGACAGAAGCAGAGGGCCACATTGTTCTCCTTCAGAGCGGCTGGTGGGTTTGAACGGCCAACCTTACAGTGGGCAACTCAACGTTTAGCCCGCCACATCGCTGGGGCCCCTTCTGTGTTGTGCGGGGCCTTGTAAGCCCTTCAGAGGACTTTGGTTTTGACTCTGGGTACTGGGAGCCATAGAGGGCTTAAGGCAGAGAGCACCCTGATGTGGCCCATTTGATCCGTGTGAGACTTCCCCCTGGGAGAAGAACAGACTGCGAGGAGGTCGGCAGCTCAATGGAAGAGGAAGACCAGCAGGAGGGCTCCCTCGGTGATCTAGGAGGACATCAGTGACTTAGTTGCCCTATTGTCCCCTTGTCAGGAAAAAAAATTTCCTCAGCTCCCCCACCACCACCACCACCACCCACCCCCACCCCCCCAGCAACAAAAACCTTTGGTGCTCAATCCATAATCCAGGATAAAGTGTAGGCATTGCTTTGAAGTCCATCTGGGCCATTCCAGTGCCCGCCAGGGTGTCATAACCACCCACTGCCGGAAGCGCTAGTCTTAAGTGATATTTAAAGTGTTCCCAGCATTGGATCACAAAAATATTCCGGCGTAGAGCCAAGTTGAAAGCACTCTCCCGGGAATTTGAGTCCTCTTCTGAGAGAAGCGCCCATGGGATCTGGCAAGAGGGTGAACTGGAGGCAGCGAGGAGCATTCATTGGTGAACGTCTCGGGGAGGTTGTGGCAGGCAGGTGGGTATCAGAGCTACAGGCCAAGGAGCCCCTTTGTCCTGAACGCATCATGCGCCATGGACATGCTGCAAACCCGATCACGGGGCCACGGAACTGCGGACACCTGGACCCCTCTGCAGAAGAGTGTGCAGAAAATCGTTTTCCAAGCATCCCAGGCGGGTCACCGAGCCCAACAGGGACGGGCGTACGGCATAGGCTGTTGCTCTCCCTTTTGTTTGTCTTGTTCTGTTTTTCATTCCATGTAGTAAAATCATGGGGGGAAGTTACACTCCTGTTTAGTGAACGTGCGAAAACCCTGTGCCTCCACAAGACCCCACCGTGTCCTGTCGCGCCCCGTTCTCGTTTCTCCTGCTGGGCAATGGAGGAGGGTATGAAATGGCGCCCATGCTTGGAGGAAGGAGAGACAGGTTCTGCACACCTCTGTCACCTGGTGGGCACGCACCACAGCGCCGTGGGCACCAGGGCCCAGGGTGTTGGTGAGAAAGGGCTTCAGGCTGAGGGGAACTTCTAACCCAGGTTCTGTCTTCAAGTGATGCCCCCCTCAGGGAGGGGGGGCATGGGCATGGCACCCAGCCAGTTTGGAGCCCAGGCCTGACCCAACCTCAAAGCTTGGGGCTCAGGAAATCCGGAGGAGGAGAAGGGGACATCGTTGCCACATCCCCCAACCCCTTTGAGACCCCCGAGACAGGAAGGCTGCCTGGGCCCCACTAGCTTTCCTCCTGGGCTTCTTCCTGGGAGGAAGGGGCTGCCGGTGCCCTTGGCACAAGGGAGGGAGGGAGAGAGGCCGGAGGGTGTGGCAATCTCCAGCCCCGGGCCTGTCAGAGGCTCAGCCATTAACGGGCTGGCTGTTTTCAGGAACTTGCCCTGAAGAGGGGGTGAGACCAGGAAGGCCTGTCCATCTCCCTCCGGTGGGCTGCGCAGGCAACAGCTGCAGTGTGAGTAGGGGACCCCCAGAGGAGCCGAGCCGGGGCTGGATGGGGACCTAGAGACCAGGCCCCCACCTTCAGGGCTTGTCCCTGGGAGTCAAGAGCCCTAGACATTTTCCCAGGGTGCACCACCCTTTGAGGATGTGAGGGGGGGGGCACACATATTAGGAAAAGTTGCAGTATGCTGGCTAGCTCCTATGGAAGCAGAGCTAGGTTCAGGGGCACGCAGATTCAACCTCCCTCCGCGTCTGTCTCCCGTCTGTCTCTCGGAGGCTGGGTGTCTTAAAGTCCCGGTCTCTCCCTCTCGTCTCTGGCCTCCAGCTTACCATCTGTCTTCCTTCCCGGGCCTCTCCTCTCACTGTCTGAGTTTCTCTGTTCATCTCCCTCTTTCTCTGTCTCTCAGGTTGACTTTTGTCTCTTCTCTCGGGGATCAGACTGCTTCTCAGCTGCCGTCCCGCTCTCTCTCCCCCCTCGCCATCGTTCAGAATCTCTCCATCTGTCTCCAGGGTTCCTCTGGTCTCTGTCTGCATCTCTGTGGGCCTCGCTCGTCAGTTCAGCGAAATACTACCTCTGTCTTTGTCTCTCTCTTCAGCCCACACCCCCTCACCCCCTTGCCCCACTGAACCACCGATCTGGGCAGGCGTCCTTCTCTGTTTATTCTTAGCCTCTCCTCTCTCAGACAGTAGAAAGCCGAGCAAGAGAGCGAGAGCGAGAGAGAGAGAGAGAGAGAG